AATATAAATCAAATTTCTTTCATTTTACTTACTTTAAATTTTTCACCAAACAGTTGGTAGCGAAGCGTTATGCACAGGAGGAATGCATTGATTATAATGAGGTCTTTTCTCCAATCGTGAAGCACTCTCCGTGATAGTGGTATAGGTGATTCGATGGGTTTATGCTCGGTCATTTGTACATTAGGAACCAGTTTGATCCTTGTGTGTACTATCACAAGTTGCGAGGAGGTGCGTACATCTATTTATTGCTTTATATCGATGACATGTTGGTTGCTTCTATTTCCAGATCCGCTATAGATGAGTTGAATGTACAGCTTTTGAAAGAGTTTGAGATGAAGGATTTGAGTGAAGCGAAGAGTATTTTAGGGATGGAGATTGGCATAGACAGAGATAATGGCAGAATTTGTTTGACATGGGTAGTTTATTTGAAAAAAGTTCTGCAGCGATTTAATGTGAGCATGGAGATGAAGCTAGTTAGTGTATCTTTGGGAGCCCATTTGAAGCTTTCAGCTGACCTCTCACCGAAGATAGTTAAAGCTAGAGAGTTGATGTCGAAGACTCCGTATGTGAGCGCAGTTAGAAGTTTAATGTACGCCATGATTTGTACAAGGCCGGATTTGTCACAGGCAACGAGCATGGTTTTGAGATACATGCACGACCCAGGTCCGAGTCATTGGGATGCCATGAGATGGATTTTGAGGTACATTCGAGGTACTCTCAACGTTGGTTTGGTATTTGAACGGGACACTAGCGGTGAGCAGCTATGTATTGGTTAAGTTGATTCAGACTACGGTGGAGATTTGGATAAACGTCGGTCAATGACGGGGTATGTGTTCACTTTGACCCATACGCCGGTGTATTGGAGATGCACATTGCAGTCTACGGTGGCTTTGTCGACGATGGAAGCAGAGTATATGGCGATTACGGAGGCTGTTAAGGAGGTGATTTTTCTTCAAGGACTTTTGGATGATCTTAGTGTTTCACAGCGATCTGTCATAATTTATTGTGATAGCATGAGTGTTGCCTATTTGGTAAAAAAAATCAAGTTTTCCATATGAGGAAGAAGCATATAAACATTCGTTATCACTTTGTTCGGGATGTTCTTGAAGATGGGGATGTGGAGCTCGTGAAGGTCCACACAAAAGACAATTCAGCGGATATGCTCACAACGGTAGTTCCGAGCAATAAGTTTGATCATTATAGAAACTTATTGAAAATTCGTGATTGTTGAGCTCGTTCGCAGCCATTTGGATGAACTACGATCGACTTGATCCCTTAGGAGAGGGGGTACGTAGGCAACCACATTGGTACAACCGAATTTGGCGAGACGACGCATTGGTGCTCATATTGGTGTCAGCTCAGTTTTGGAAACACTTCGATGAGGTTAAGAATTGTAGAAAACGGCGTCGAATTGTTCAAAGTGTTGAAAACGTGAAAATTCAGCAGCTTGGGTATGGTGCGTGCCACACCCAGGTGTGGCAGAATTTGCTCTGTTGTCAGGGGTGTGGTGCGTGTCATACCCAGGTGTGACAGAATCTGCCCTGTTGTCAGGGGTGTAGTGCGTGCCATACCTGGGTGTGGCAAACTCGTTTTTAGATTCTGACCCTATTTGGATTGGGTTTGTTATAAATAAAAACACACGTTTCTAGGATTAAGAGAGAGAGTTTGAATAGAGAATTTGAGTTCTTTTAAGCACTTTGAGAGGGAGATTATTGTGAGGGAGTGAGAGATTATTGGTTGGGTTATTTTGAGAGTTGTTTGAGAGATTGTAACCCGTTGTTTCTCCTCCATGTAGTGAAATTTTCCCATCCTCTCTCCGTGGACGTAGGCAATTGCCGAACCACGTAAATCTCTGTGTTTGTGTGTGATTTTTGTAGGCTGTCTAAAAATCATAATAGATAGCTGATTCCCCATTAAACACCGATGATGGAAGTTACAATCTGACGATTTTCAGAAGGTTACAATTTGAAGACTTTCACGTAGACTGATGAAGGTTACAATCTGACGACCTTCGCAACAACTAATGAAAGCTCTAATCAACAGCCTCCACAATCAACATCGGGAGTTATAATCTGACGACTCTCACATATCAAAGAGCTAAAGCAAAGATTACAAAACGATGATCTTTACAATGTTCTGACAGAAAGAGACTACAAATCGACGGTCTCTTCAAACCAAGACGTGGAGGTCCTCCCCGCGTACCAGCATCAAGACGCACCGCGTTCATAGCCACGAACGTAGCTCAGACGCAGCCTCCGAAAGCTGCCAACGCAGCTTCCATCTGCTGCCAAACACAGCTCACATTCAGCTCCAAACACTGCAAACGCAGTTCAGATCCAGCTACCAACGCAGCTTATGTTCGGCCACAAACACAGCTGTCATCCGCTGCCAAACGCAGCTTCCAAGCTGCCAATGTAGCTTCCAACAAGACGCTGCGTCCGAGCTTCTAGACGCTGCGTCTGAGCCTCCAGACGCTGTGTTTAAATGCAGAATTCATGCCAAGAACGCGGATTTTTCCTTTGACTCGTTCAAACACGAGCTGAACGGTTTCAAAACCGTTTCCCACGATCTGAGGGGATCTCAATTCCACTCAGGAGTAATTTAAGGGGCGGTTACATCCCATTAGCCCCACTTAGGAGCGAATTAAGGGGGCGGTTACACCCCTTAATAAATAACTAAGAAATCAGCTTAGTTCGGGGGCGGATCCTGAATCTTTGAGGTTGAATCTTTGGGGACCTGGAGCTCAGATCCTGCTCCTTGGCAGCAAAGAAGAAATCATTGGCTTGTCTAACCAATTACGGTTAAGATCAATCAACTCGTATAAAGTTTCCAACTTGCCATGCAAGTTCTCCACAACGTCAAATCGTGAGGAGAAGACATCGTTCCAGTGAATCAAGACGTGCCATGCAAGTTCTCCACAACGTCAAATCGTGAGGAGAAGACATCGTTCCAGTGAATCAAGACGTTCGAATCGTCAACGGAGAGCAAACTCGACGCGAGCATTCGAGGGAGGCACTCCATCGCCACTGTGAAGAACCCAGAATTAAACAAAGGGGAGAATCCAGATCAATTCTCTTCTCTTTTGTAATCAGGAAATCCAATTGTAATTAAGATTAAAGGAATACAGATCAATTTTACTTCATTTCTTTTTACTTTAAATTTTCCACAAACAAAAGATGGCGACTCCGCTGGGGAAAAACTTATCTGACGAAGAAGTGGTGGTGCAATCCGACGTCCATCTCACAGGAACGACCGTTGAAACTCTGATCATCGAGTTCGATCAAGCCAAGTACGAGGAGGCCCTTGCCTTCGGATCCCTTAGCCCCAAAGCTATGCGCAAGGTCCGCAAGATCTCCAAGAAGACTAAAACTCTAATCTCTGCCGAACCGCCAAAGGAAGTCTTCTTCTTTGGATTAGATGGCTTGGACAGCCCCTCCTTTGAAGGAGTGGGCTCAGCCTTGAAGAAACTCGTCAATCGAGTCGAGGAATCTATACCCTCGCCAAATCAATGGGTGGTGGGTCACAAGAGGCCTATTGAGGTGACAAACCTGATCAACACAGATGGTGACGTCGCTACAAAGGCCTTGAAGCAGGCTAAGAAGAACGCCGCTCGACGGAGGAGGAGATCCCTACGACGAGTGTATCTCCGAGAATGACGATCCTCAAGTCAACACGAGCTTCATGTTTGTGAGCCTAAACGCGACCCTGTTTCTGTTTCAGAACGCAAGCCTCTCGTCTACGAGCCAAAACATAGGCTCTGTGTGAATAAGATTGAATGCAGCCCTAAATGGCGCGTTATACAATCGAAACGCAAAGCTCATGCATGCATTACTGAGCCAGAACGCAACCCTCAAGGGAGCGTTACAAAACAAAAACGCAGGTCTCCAGACCGCATTAACCATCCTAAACGCAGTCCTCAGCAAAGTATTCCAGAATCCAAATGCGGACATCAGACATGCGTTCGGGTAAGGAAACCCAATATAGAACCTGGTGTA